TGTTGGAAACAAAACCCTCACAGCACAGTAGTATTTCATGACCACCAATGTCTATAAATCATGTGTATTATTACAGTGCCCACAATTTAAGAAGGGAGCTCTATCAAGCTAGTCACTATACAAGTACACGGTAATAAAGGATGCTTGCCTCGGGGTGTGCAATGTAAATAGATGAGACCCATCCAGGATGAAAGGAAGGGAAAACAATACACAAAGCAAAACCATGTGATGGCAGCAAATGTCATGTTAGTTCCACAATTATTCTTTTGGGTAGACTTACTTACAAAATTTGGGGGGAGGTGAGCACGCTAGCAGGGAGAGAGAGATTGCAGAAGGATCTGGATAGGTTACAGGGGTGGGCAAACAGGAACAGGATGTGTTTCAATACAGACAAGTGCAGGGTGCTGCACTTGGGTAGTAGGAACCAGCAGCACACTTATACGATGGGGAACTCCCTACTTGAGAGCACGGAGGCGGAAAGGGATCTTGGTGTCATTATTGACTCCAAAATGAACATGGGCCGACAATGCGAGGTCATGGTTGGCAGGGCTAACAGGACCTTGTCGTGCATCCACAGGTGCATCTCGAGTAGAGTCAGGGAGGTGATCCTCCCCCTCTATGCGACGCTGGTCAGGCCGCAGCTGGAGTATTGTGTCCAGTTCTGTGCGCCCCATTTCAGGAGGGATGTGGACAACATGGAGAGGGTCCAGAGGAGGGCCACCCGCATGATCCGGGGACAACAGGGCAGACCCTACAGTGAGAGACTGCGGGACCTGAACCTATTCAGCCTCCACAAGAGAAGGCTGAGGGGGGACCTGGTGACCGTCTATAAACTCACTAGGGGGAACCAGAATGTTGTGGGGAAGACGCTGTTTCCCCTAGCTCCCGCTGGCATAACAAGGAGTAATGGGCACAAGTTGATGGAGAGGAGGTACAGATTGGACATCCGAAAAAACTACTTCACAGTTAGGGCGGCTAGGAGCTGGAACCAACTTCCAAGGGAGGTGGTGCTGGCCCCTACCCTGGGGATCTTTAAGAAGAGGCTGGATACTTACCTGGCTGGACTCATTTGAGTCCCGTTTTTGTTTTTAGGGTTTGTTTGTTTTTTTGGGGTTTTTTTGGGTTGTTCTCCCGCCCTGGCGGGGGGTCGGGCTAGAAGATCTATTAGGTCCCTTCCGACCCTGAAACTATGAAACTATGAAACTTAGGAGAGGCTACCTGTAAAATGGAGAGGGGAGAAGCAGGGGAGAGTACAAAGTAAAGCTGAGGTGAAGAGATGGCGAGGGAGCAGGAGGGAGAAAGTTGGAGCAAGCAGTCAATCAGAACAAAGCAAAAAATGTCCATGTGAAGCAGGGGGAAGTTCCCTGAGTATTCAATGGGCTCTGCTTTTACAGATTCTATAGCCTAGCATTTTTTTTGGCAGGCTGATCTCTAGTTTACTCCTTAGGCCACACTAGGGAAATGAAGAGGTACCACCTGGGTGTAATGCCTCAGGTTGGCAAGGAGGTCTCACTGGCACCAGGAAAGGCTGAGGGGAGGCACAGCTCTAGCTGGGCCCACTTTACCTCCCTCCCCCTTTCCCAGTGTGGCCATCCTAGCTACTGTGTCTGCTGGCTTCAATCCTTTCCTGGCTTCCATCTGCATTGGATATTGTTTCACACATGGAGGCTGGGCCCCTGGCAAAAGTTGAATCTTTACAGGGTCAGCATTTTTAGCCTTCCCGGGTCGGTGACCTGCCCATACCCATGGAACAACAGCATCGAGCAGGGTTTGAGGAATATCCGGTGTACTTTCCTCTCGGAGAAGGCCGAAAAGGCAAGCCTGCAAATGCCACCCCTTTTCAGGAGGCACTGTTAAAAACATTTGCCCATCCTGGAACGACAACGTAGCTTGCAGTTTACAGAGGAGGTCTCTTCCTAAAAGGGGAACAGGGCAGTCTGGCATGTACAAAAATTAATGGGTGACTTCGGCCTGCCCAAGATTACAGGTCATTGGCTGTAGAAAGGGTCGTGTTACTGTCTTCCCTGTAACCCCTACCACCAGCACAGTCTTTTTACTTAAAGGTTTCAGTTTTTGAGTTAAGACAGAATGGGCAGCACCTGTATCAACGAGAAAATTTACCAATTCATCTTTGTCCCCTAGTTGCATTTTAACCAGAGGCTCGTCAGGGGACACTGGGATCTGGGTTATCTTTCCCTCCCGGGCCTCCGGTCCCCTTCAATCTGAACCCCTTCCAAAAGCAAACAGTCCACTGCTCTCCTCTCTTTTCTTTTCCTGAACACTTTCTCGGTTAATAAATACTTGGTAAGCAATGTCTACTAGTTGGGAAATAGGCATACCTG